AAATTGAAAGAACTATAGTAAGTAGTTATAAATCAAAAATCGAAGAATACAGAGAGTACGGTACTTTAGCGATACAATATTGGGGATAAAGTAATATTAAGCATTTGAAATATCAAGTAACTTCGATCTAAGAAGAAGTTTTCGGATAGATTTATAGGTCTTTTTTGAATAATAAATATAAAAACCAGTGGTCAAGTATATAAACTCAAGCTATTATCTATTTATAAGATTCACAATGTTTTCTATATTTCCTTATTAGAATTATAGCATAAATAATAGAGTACTATTGATCTACCGCTATTAGAGGAGATAGATAATTATTTGGAATACAAAGTAAAGAAAATCATAATATATAGAAAAAAGGGTAGAGGTATTCAATATCTAGTTTGATAAAAAGGCTATTAATCAATAGAAGATATATAGAAAGCCTTCTGCAATCTGAATAATACGAAAAAAGTATTAAAGGAATACAATAAAAAGAGGGAACTATTAATATAGAATTTGAAAGAAAAAAGGAAAAAAGCTATAAAACAATAGGGTTATGCTGTGTATTCACAAGCGAATCACTAGTAAGTTGAAGCTGTTCACAACATTCCTTTTTTTACTGTTTTTTACTCTGATAAGAATAAGAATACAATTCTTTATTTGCTAATATATTATATATTATTGCTAAGTGTATTAATTTATTCTAATATCTTTTGAATACTTCAGGCTTTAATTTGTGGGTATTAGAGTCAATATTAACTGAATTCTTGTTAGTATTCGGTATATAGGATTATTGTTATTCCTTCTATAAAGCCTTATTTCTTGTAAGGGTATGCCTTTGATTAATATAGAAATGCTATTGTAAAGGTATTATTATATTAGTGTATTGAGAAGATTCTATAACAAGAATTAACCCTTTTACTCTATATATCGAAAGGATCTGGTATAGGAAGAAGAGTACCAAAAATAGTATTACCTATATCGCTATTATTGTATTCACTCTTCTCTATTAAAGGTATATCAACTTCATTCTTATTCTCACTTTCCTTCTCCTTCATTTTTATAAGGGCTTCACTAAGCAATCGATTTTCTATTAACTGGTCATCGGCAATCTACTGGTACTTACGAAATCAAATATTTTCAGGAAAATCTATATAGATATTAGATTCTCTAATATAGATATTATAATTCATAAAGGGAACCTTAGACTTTTGTGAAATGCTATAATCCCGATATTGAGAATTAGATAGAGAATTGGTAATAGCCAATACCGCCTTTTGCTTTGAAACTATTTAGGAAGCTTTACAAGAAAAGAGAATAGCTTAAGGGATCAATCTTCTGGTTATAGATTGATGGGTAGAAGCTATCGAACCCCTAGAAACACACTTCTTTATCTGAGGGGTGGTAACATCGATATTGTCTTGAAAGATATAGGGAATGTTGGAGTATCAAGAGGTATTAATAATCTAATAAAGAAAAGCAGTATTACTACTACTACCAATATCATTTTCATTATCCTTATTAGGACTGAAAAGGGAATCCTCGGGGTATCTAATTCGATCTTTTTTGTATATCAAGAAACGAATGTGGGAATGGGGATAAAATAACAATTTAATATCAATACAAAAGGATCGACAGCTTTCAAATCAATTATCATATTTATAACACCCAAAGCCTTACTCTTTGTAGGAATAAAGAGCAAAGCAGAAACAATAAGAACACAAAAATAAACAATCGGGGCAAGAAACTTGCCCTTATTATCCGAATCCATTACAAACACTAGTTTCAGAATGGAACCCGGAATAGCAATATTTAATGCAAGCAAATTATTCTAGAATCCAGGATATTAGCAAAAAATAATTCTATAAAAGAACAAGAGATAACTGATAACAACTCGATAGAAATTTATAAAACGCTTCATAAAATTACCTATTCGATTTAGTTTCTTTATAACAAATAGAGATAATGTCTTTACTGACTCTGGTTTTTTAATACTACTCTGCTTATTTTCTTTTTACAAAAAGGCCTCTATACTCTTAATATAGTATTCACTTTAATGTCTCAGTACATTTTCAGTATCCTGTTTTTCTTGACTATTGGTAGGAGTAGTTAGTCAAAAAGCTTGAGTCTGATATATAAGATTGATATTGGGAATGTATTGTGGAAGTATCGGCTAGCAGACTTTCTTCTGAATACAGCAATAACTACAAAGAGAATTAGGACTCTTATCATAATAACAGAAATCTTCAGGGGTAAAGGTTACAATATACTTAGAGTAATGAAGATATATAGGAATAATTAGATTAGTAAGGCTTGCTACAGATCGAGCTGCAATCGTCTGGAGACTGATGGATTGAGGAGCAGTTATGATAAGATAAGAATTGGAAAGATAATGGGTAAAGAATAATCTACTAAAAAAGAAAATGCATTCGGAAAAGTAAAGGAAACTTATAGGACCTCTAGTAATCTATTAATAAAAACAATAAATACATTGGAATATTGTTTATTGATTATTTATAACTTTATAGCGTTTTTATTTTCTTTTGAAATACATCTCAAACACAATCACACAGCACCTCATTTTCTTATATTACACAAACCGATTTCGGAAGATAAACATACATATCTCAAAGCACAACATGCAAAATGGAAAGCTCTATTACAATCAATCCGCATAAAGGCTAACGAGGATACATAAATAGCCCTACAGGCTACCCCAGGCCGACACCAACCCGCACACAATTATAAATTGTAGAATTTTCATAGTTTAGAGAAATTAATGAAAAGTCTTTGTGCTACATTACACCTAGTTGATTCATTGCTATTATCTACTCTAACACTTTCTGTATTTACTACAATATCAATTAAAAAATACTTTCCCATTAGAATTCCCCCCTTTTGATACTTGTTACATTAAATCTGAATATTAACCTTTTATTAAAATAATATATCAAAAGCCTTTTATCCAGTAAGCATTTCTTTTTAATATAATTAGGTTTTTTTTACACATCGATATTTATTTAATACTTTATTTGCTTTCCGAAATATACAAATCTCTACATTCAAAAGCGTATTTTCATAAGCTAATCTCTCTATACTCTTAGCTAAAACTAATACAATCTCGAATATAGATATAAAAGAGCTTGATTGATAACAAGTTATTCAAGATTTAACTAATATTGATTAAGAAAAAACTTCAATTAGATTATAAAAAGTTTAAGAGATCTATTGATTTAGATCAAAAAAGAGAAAAGTAGATATGCGAATTCGAATATCTAATTTTGAGAGTATAGTTTCAGGATTAAATAGGATTAGATCTGTTCCTCGAAACCCTGATTTCATATTCTGAAAAGTAATTAATTCTTTATATACAGCTTTAAAAGCTATAAAGAATTCAACCTTCGAAATATAATTAATATATGCCTTGATAAATCTATCAATTTGAGTATTATATAAATATTTCAGATTATTAAAACAATCTACATCAAGTAATTAAATTAAATAATTGAATATAATAATAAATATAAATATATAATATCATTCTCTTTATAATATACTTAAAAAGCTACTAATTTATAACTTTTATATTTATTCAATATAATATTCGATATTTACTCTTTCTTCGATTCTTAATATACTTATCAAAATATTTCAATTATTCTAAATCTATTTCATTATTTGTTTATCTATTAGATATAGATTTAATAATCCAGTTTACAGGAAAATCAGTTTCGGTATATCAATTGAAAAAATAAATCTATCCTTGAATTACTAGAAATAAGGGAATAGTTTCATCCTTCCTATTTCCATATATTATTGCTATAGCCCATTCTCGATTGCCTGATTATATTGATTTACTTCTGCTACATTTCTTGATACTAGTAATAACTATTGCTATATATATAATCCCTATCATAAAGCCTGTTTTATTGAAATTATAGAAATCGCTATCCAAAATGTTGTATTTCGCTTATATATTTACAATTAATCGAAATCACTCTTCAATAAACTTAAGATCTTTACAGAAAGCTTTTGAAAATTATAAATATAATTATTGTTTTTATATAAAAAATAATATAATAATATATCTTTTTATATATATATATAGTTCTATATTCATATAGTATACTAAGAGCAAATCACAATATCACATGATCAGATCACATGATCGTCGCTTAAGAGAGCTCTTAGCCTAGAACGGCCTGAAAATCAATTCTTATTAGCTCTTTATTAGTTCTTTCAATCCATTCGTAGTAAGATCGACATAGTACTAGCGAAATCGAATAAGGAATAAGAAAGAAAAGCTTTATTTGATGGAATGGCCGGATTAGGAAGAGATCTACGAGAAATAAACGAAAGTGGAAAGCTAGATTAGTAGGAAAAAGCATAAAATAAGGCCTTTTCCCCTCGAATATAGAAAAAGAAAATAAGAATATCATATACTGTTTCATGAAAATCACGTGTTTCATAGCTATTTAGTTGTTAATACGAGCCAGCTTCCCATAATAGACTAATATTAGTCTATTCCCTCTTATATACTATATACTCATATACTAGCTCATGACCTACGATAATAATTAAAATATATTTTTAATTCAATTCGATATTTACAAATCAATATGCTCAAAGCTTTCCAATATTCTTTATATCCTTCGATTCGAGAATATAATTCGCTATATCTTCTACACTCTTAAGTTTAGGTGAAAACCCTTTTGAATTTATATCGAGTATATATTGAATAATCACTTTCTCTTTTAATTCTATAATATTATAACGATTTGCTTGAATTTCTATATAAAAAGGTAAACCTTCTATTCTATATTAAAGAATTGTATAAGGGATATTATAAGTATAATAGTTTTTTGAATGCTTAATTTTTTATTTTTTTTTAAATAGCTTTGATAATAAGGAGTATATGAGCTTTTTGATTATTTAAATTTATTGTAGATTGTTAATAAAATGTATATTGAAAGAGAAAGGTATAAATTGAGGTGAAAGTGGGCCACTCGATGATATGGGCCACTCGATGATAAACCACGTTAATCGTTTGCTGTGTCATCACTTAATCATTATCGCAAAATTTCGGGATCTGACAACAACTACTTAAGTTCTTCAAGAAGCAGTATTGATCATTTTTCATTAAAACAACGACGACAAAAGAAATGGTGTTGTTCTCTCCTCGCTAATGGATCTCCTTCCTCCCACGTAGCTTTTCCCCTACGTATGTGCCGTGCTTGGCACAAACGCACCCCTTTTCTCCGTCCGCCTATGCACTAAACCCCTCCAGTGCCCACTCGATCCTATAACAACCCCTTTTCCCAAAAAGCTTACGGAACCTCTCATCCTGAATACCGGAGTAAAAAGCAAAAGGTAAAAGAAAGCAGATGAAGTAAAGTAAAATACCCAAATCTCACGCCCTTCCCATTAATAAACAGCAAGAGATAAACTCATCGATGAGTCCCCCAAGAGTTGTTCGTGTCATTACTACCCTTGAACGTCTAATGGTTGAACTGACTTCTGTACTTTCTTTTCTGACTGTGTTATCTGTTCTTGTGATAATGAAAATTGTTGAGGATTAGGCGATTGTGATTGTGATGATGATGATGATTGATTCGATGTTAAGTTTGATGCACTGAAATAATAATGTTATGATGATTTTGGTGCGAAGCATGGATTGAATCTGATGTTATATCAAGGATGATATGAAATGTGGAGGTGTTGATGAAATGGTCGATATTATTTGTAGTGAATGTATGTGATGTTGAAACGGGTGTTTGTAAGTATCTGGAGATGTGCGTGTTTGGCGGTGAAATTAAAGAACGTGGTTTAATAAAAATAAAGATTGTGTGGTGGTAAGAAACTGAAAGATGATAATCGTTTCAGTAAGCAATTTATATTCACGATAGAAGATCCCGAGGAAAGCGAATTTACTGCTACCGCGATTAATTTATTGGGCCCTCAGTGCTGGACAATTCCACATTGACCTCGAAGGATTTGAAATCAGCCCAAGGGGCCGAATCATCCTCTAGCGAGCAATAAAACACCGAACCCGTTTCGTTGCAAGAGTCTCTGTGTGTCCTCAATTGTGGGAGCAGCTCTTCCATATACATAGTATGATACTCCTCTTCTTTGGGTTTGACTTCCTTGGCGAGGTATTCGGCAGCAGCATGATTCGCCATTTCCAAAACCGTGTACAGTTTGCTCGAGTCCGCAAATCCAGCAGTATGGTATGTCATACAGACTTTTTGAGTTTCAGGGTCAATTTCCTCAACGACCTTCTCGAATCGGATCGTGTAGTATTTATTGGCAAACATCGGGCGTAACAGTGTTGGATCGTATCTGTCAATATCTTCGGTTTTCATCGGCTTAAATGTGACAAAGACCTTGGTAATCTTCTCTTCGTCGTGAATGACTTGGCCATGATACGTACGGTCGGAATTCCACTTCTCCAGAATCTCCTGTTGTCTGAACATTTTGGTTCTGTATTCGTTGACAAGCGTCTGTGCATGCTTGTTGGCCTTTTCAGATCAAAGAACTTCTTCTTGAGAATTGCTTCGTCCTCATATTCGCCAAGCGTTACTTGTGTCATAACATATATAAATTGACAATTTTATGTGATACGGGCTCTTGGGACTTGGCAGACAATGTTCTGGCCATTTGACTCGGCGCTGAAAGTAACGTTGATTGGGTTTCTAGACCACTAGAGGATCGTGGAGCGGATTGCCCCTCAAAGTATCTCGTCATATTTGGCATTGGTGGGACAATCTGCGCATTATGTTCATCGGGGTTGAGTGTAGCAGTTTGCTTCTGAGACTCTTCTTCGACATCTGGATCTTTTTCCAAATGATCTCTCATTTCTTTCTCGAAAGCAATCTCTTCCTCAGTCAGTATTTCTGATTGAATTCCCATCGTTATTCTTACCAGCCTTTGTAGCCTCAGCAAGAGCATTATTTTTTCGATTGTGTTGCATTATCATTTCCAGAGTTTCATCATCAATCGGATCCTCTTCAGACTCTTCTGACTCGTCCGAGTCGAAAAGTGGTTCCAGTTCTTCACTGGCTGTGGTTGGGTACGTCGAGCTGCATAAGATTGCGCCCGTTCTTTCAATACCTCGGCCGTTTTGATTTTATGCTCTTTCAGATCACGAGTCAGAGAATCATCTTCTTCTTCAACTTGATTAGAATCACTAGCAGTATCGGAGGATGAGATATGCGCCGCGGCCAACCAGAATCATTAGGTATGCTGGTACTACAAGCAGTATCATGTTCATGTTCGTTCGATGAAGTCTTTTTCTCCAGCACGATTTCTTTTTCGCTGCATCTCGCGCTTGAATCGCTGATTAGTGAAATTTATGACGGTGGATTCGTGTGGAAACATACCTCTCGCTTCTCCATTAATTTGTTAAGCCTAGCTTCCAGCTCAGAATCACCTATAATTCTGCCTTCTTTACGAGCTTCTTCAATCAGTTCTTTTTCTTTCTTCTTGCGATATTCAACTGTTATCTTTTTCGCAGATGCAGCTTTTTTCTCCTCCAATCTGGCTCTGTTCGAATTTTCCTTCCGAGCCTGTGCCGCAGCCTGGACTCTTTGGCGATTAGCTTCATTTCCTCTCGCTCTGCTTGCGAAATCAAACGCGTTTCTGGTCTACTTGAAGTATTAGTAGACCTTACTGGCAAGGGAAGAGGGGGAGGTAAAGGCAATGGAAGTGGGCGCGGTTTCGAGACTGTAAGCTCTGTATTAGAGTTTTCGGTTTATATTCTGAGGTTCTTTTGGTTTTTCGCGAAGAACATACCCTTCGGCTCATGTCCGGGTAGAGGTTGTAGTTTTAGCACTGAATATAGAACCTCCGAGTGACTTTTGTCAGTGACTGGGTCCGTTTCTTTTTTGACGGGCTTTTTGTTAACACTTTAGGAGTTGCCTGCGTAGCAGCTTTATGAGCAACCGTTTCAGGGTTTGGCTCCGCAGGGATGGACTTGGCTCGTTTTTGCTTGCCAGCTGCACTCTCGTTTTGCTCTATTTTTGCGAATAGCTTCACGCTCAGCATCTCTATCTTCAAGAGTTTTGTCACCACTTGGATTGAGAATTGTTTTGGCAAAGATCTCAGTCATACTGGCAGGAGGTCGATCATGTTCTAAGGATTGAACAATTGTCGAGTCACTACTAAAGCTTCCTGTGGTACTTTGAAGACCACTCGAAATTTGCTGTTCTGGAGTGGTTTCCACGACTGCCTTTCGATTGTCGGAAACGAAAAGTGAATCTTCATCCTCGACTTCGGTGTTTGTTGGAAGTGTGGCCTGAGGAGGTGAAGTCTTTTCTGTGTTTGAAGCATCATCCACAGGTGTTATTTGGGTCTGTGGAGTGGGTAATGAACCTTCATTATCAACTTCCATACTTGTCGAAGGCGTGACTTGAGGAGGTAGAGAGTTAACTTTGTTTGAGATGGCGTCCACAGTCGTAGACTTCTCGCAGGCTCAAATCCGCGATCGATTTTGCTTTGACTTGCGCCTCAAGCTTTTCCAATTGTCGTTTCAATTTGCTCAAACTTAGCATCATTTTCTTTCCTTTCCTTTCTGCAGCTTGGGCTTTTTCCTCGGCAGCTTTGGCCACAGCCAAATCCTTTTCTCTCTTCTCTTGTAGTAACTTATTTGCAGCCTTACGTCTCTCATCTGCATTCTGTTGCTCTTTCAAAGATTGATGATGACGTTCGGCGTCGCGTTTGGCTTTCTTGGCTGCTACCCTCTTTTCTCCTTCTCGGCCTGCTCAGCCGCTTTCCTCTCGCTCTCTTTCTTGATTCTTGCTTCATTCTTCTTTCGCTTCCTCTCGGCATCAATGAGATCTTGCTTCTCTTTCTCTTCTCGCAATCTCTGAGCCTCCAAACGTTTAGCTTCCTCATGCTCTCTCTTTTCTTCCACAGTTTCGCCAATAACTTCTCGAATAATTCTTCTTGCAAAGCCTTCTTATTAGCATTGAGTTCTTGTCGGATGATCTTCTTAGCTGCTTGTTGTTGACGAACATTTTCTTCAGGTTGCTCTCCCTTGTTAGGGCTAGATTCAATGGCTTGGTGCTGATGAGTATTCTGACCAGGTTGTTGTTCACTTTGAGCGCCAAGTTCATCCTGATCAGAGAGTTTCACGGGTGCCGATACCCTGATCGGGCCCCTTCTCGTTGGAGTCCAGTGCTGAGGTATAAAAGGCATTGAACTGCGGGCACAAAGAGTACTTTCTGGAGTAACGAGATCAATAGTGACCCCCGAATTGTTAGATCTATTTGAATCACTGGATGGAATTTGATGAACCTGCTCTGCGACTTCGAGATTCTTTCTTCGAAATACACTAGACTTTGGCAGAGCATTTATAAAACTCATGGGACATTATGGACCCCCACGTGAGACTTGGATCTACGACGAAGATCATTTTCCAATGGTGTCTCGTAGACATCGTCATCATCAATAGGACCATAATCGATCGTTCGGGCTTGACTTGAATTCTTCTGTATGCTATCAGACGCAACGGATCTAACTCTCCCCGACTGATTCTTTGGCGTATGGGGAGGTGGCTTCATCGAGTTAGGCTTGTCAATTCTCCCTTGCAATCTGTTCGCAGAGGAAGGTTTGGGTACAGCAAAATCATGGCTTGACCATAATGGCGAGCGAAGTTGGTTCTCTTTCTCCTGTCTCTGGGCCCTGACACTGTACGTACCATTTCCAGTACCCAGATATTGAATATCGCTATTGTCGTTGGAGATTCGTGGGGCTAGGCTCTGTGCACGAGATTGACCATGACGTTGCCTTTGCTTGGGTGTACCGACTGATTCTTTATTGACTCTGGAAGTTTCTTTGCGGCCTCTACCAGCTGTTCTATGAGCATCTGTGTTAGGTGGCATAGATACGTAGGTTTGGCTCCTCCTTCATGCGCCTCTTAGTTTGAGCATTATTCTGCGGTGAAAATACGCCTTGTTGTCTGTCAAACTGCTGGTTGTAATTCTCCATTATAGCATAACCTTGATCCTCGTATAAGTCTCTTGCACGTGAGCGGCTACGGGCGGTCGACTGTTTACTAACTGCCACGGAATTCTCGACATTTTGGTACCCTTCGAATACATGATTTGTCCTGACCTTATATCGAGCATCATTGCGGGCAACAGACTTATTGCGAGACCGCGAGATCGCCGAGATGTGATCATATACAACCTCCTCTACGTTTGTTGTGCGGCCACGTTCAATGCGACTTGGGTGCTCACTCTGATGTCGCTTCCTTCTGTCCTGTGCAGGTTGAGCGGGACTTATCACTCTTTTATGGTTGGTCTGTGGTTGTTGCAAGACGACAGGGTGTTCATCCGATGAGCTTTCATCGTCTGAAAAGTGTTGATAAGCTTCATGGGCACGTTCCGACCTCTATGTTGTGAATTAGGAGTTTTTGATTGCTGGTAGTATTGAGGTTGTGGTTCCGGTTGCTCTTGTGAGTGATGAGCCTTTTCTTTTTTGAATCGAGGCTGAGATTGATTCCTAGAACTGCAACTTGGCAAGGGATCAGGATCCCATGTATCGTCGAGCTCCATTTTCGACATCAATGTTCTGCAAGAATTTGTTGAGAAGATGAAAGCGTTAGTGGTGTAGATATGAAGTGGTGAATTACAGTCTTAGGTGAAAGTCGACAAAGAAAGTGAGCTGAATGTGTTGGATCCGTCAGGTCGTCAGTAGAAGTTCACAATAAAGCTTGAAAGATTGGAAGTTGTTATGTTGAATCAGTGCGTGACAAGATAGTTGTGTAAAGACGAACAAAAGGGGAGAGAAAGATGGAAGGAGGAGAAGTCGGGACCGCAATACTGAGCTCTGTAATGGTAATGACCTTATCGAAATATACCAGGAGAGCAGAGGATAAATTGCGTTTTTTGGTCTTTTGATAAAGGAGAAAAAACAACTTACTCCGATTCTGGTGATTCTTCGTAATTATGGTTGAATTATGGAAAGTGAAGCGACAAAGTTAAGGTATCAAGATTTTAGGAAGACTAGTATACCTTGACTGTTGCGACGATCAGCGCCCCCCAATAGGATAGACTAGTTATGAAGAGCAGCAGGTTGACCGAGAATCATGTAGTCTGAATAAATTTCTTGTGGAAATGTAAAACAAAAAGTTAGAAAAAGAAGAGGGGAAATTGCAGAAGAGGAGACCTCGAATAAGACTCAGGGTTCCTTCAAATGAATTAAACGAGATTCGGCTAGGTGAATACATATCAATGTAGATGACCCAAACCACCTTTAGACCGTCACTTACCCCGCTCCTCAACAGAAATATATTTTTATATAAAGTTCACAAGGTCAAAATGTGAAAAGAGAAGTGACAATCTTGAGGAAATTATAGCTGAGAATATCTGTTAAGCCTTGTTTCAGTGACTGGAGAATGAAGTTGTCAAAGATTACCACCTACTATTGATATGTTCACAACTTTGAGTGGAGACAGCGGAGCGCTGGGAGCTATCGGCACAATAAAGCATGCGGAATGGATTACCATTCGTCTGTTTACTGTCGTATAAGGAAGGTATCGATAATTATTCTTGGGTCAACAGAGTGAATCATATCATCGTCGGTGTAGATTTCTCAGCGTGACTCATGCTCCCCAACAATTTTGGATTTGATACTTCACAGTAGGTTCCTTTTACGAGAAAGTAAATCTTGTGACTTTGCTCATGAGTGAATTGAACTAGACTTTTCGACAACACTTTGAAGTTGTGATTGTGTGGACACTAGTTACATTCAATACTCATTGATATACCTAGGCATTTAAACCTGTTTCATTCCCGTCCATCATTCTATTTACAAATAGTTCCAAGAGTCACACGCCTAAGTGAATAAAGCTTGCACTTCAAGTATTCAATATGCTAAAGGAAAAGATGTGAAGAGGAAGGGATTCAGTTGATAATCAACCCTTATCGAAACATGGAATTGTATTCTAGATATCAGCCCTATGATTATTCATACCATGATCAATCTCCAAATTTATGCTTCCGACAATTTACCTCACCTCGACTCATCCTGTCTCAGGGAGGTTGGTCCATGCCAATGCCCAACTGAGATGAGATTCGATTAGGACATTAGCAAGAAGATCCCTAGTCTCTACCAAGAATAGCCCGTCCTCATAGCACAACTACAATATCGTGCTTGGAAGATTCTAATGAAGAACAAAAAACACATTGCCAACACAGAAGCCCCAGAGCTCCAACTTCCGAAAGTGCTGTTCTGATCAAAATCACGTGACCAACCAACGTTCGTATGCTTCTTGGATATATCCACGAATCAGACGTACAACAAAACAAAATTCGGTCATGGGACGAGACAGATCTAGAAGATGTGATTGGATCAAGGCAGGTGACTTAACCGAGTCAAGAATCCGGCCAATCATAGTAATCTGTCCATTTCAATATCTCGATGTTCTAGCATTCTTGTGCTTCGCGGTGGACAACGATTTTCAAGGTTGTATGAGGCGATGTTGGCGAGTACTGTTCCTCGAGTGCTGTTCGGAAATTGGAAAGTTCAACAGAAGCTCTCTTTGGAAGTTGTGCGAGATGGGGAGTCGTGATCTTTGCCTCGACCAATGGCAAGGTAGGAGAGGAGCTACTCGGATTAGCTAAACTTATCATAAAGAATTTGCATAGAGGTGCGAAGATGAAAGCTATGAAACAGATTGCGAGATTAAGACTTCTGTTGAATCACTTATCAAAGTTAACAGCTGCGTCTTAAACACCAACGCCTGCCTTTGCAACAACTTATCATCACATTATCTTGACCGTGGCCCTGACAAAATGGTATCTTATTCAATACAGTACTAATTAATTACTTCTTCGACTTCGCCTTGAAAGTTTTCAAAGGGTCTGATTTCCTCCCTTTTCCTCGTCCCTTCGCCTTGTGAGCCGCCCTAGCTTTCCTAATTCTGTTTTCTGTTGTCTTGTGCATTCCCACAAATCCGATATCTCCACCGGTAATTCCTTTCTTGCCTTCTTTTGGGAGGAGATAATCCGGCACATGCTTCAAATGTGCTTGCACTCTGGCAGGTCGTAATTCCCCATCGTGACGAAGATGATACAAGTCGCTTGGGTTCTCTTCAAAATGACGCTTGAGCTTGTCACTCTTCATCAATTCTTGTCTAATTTCTCGAGTTTTTGCTTCCTGGACCGCAATACTCGTAACAGCTCGTAGAGCATCACCCATTCTGTATCGGAAAGCATCTACTTGCTTCATATCAAAATTATATGGTTTAACCTCCTTACCCTTCTTTGCTTGATGCTTGACAATCTTCGCCAAAACTTTCTCGTCGTTCTTCGCCGATTCAATGCTAGTCGGTTTGTGTTTTCGATATTGTTCAGAGGGGATAACGAATGATAGTGCCATTCCTGTCTGGCCTGCTCGAGCCGTTCGGCCGATTCTATGGGTGTATGATTTGGATGATGTTGGAAGATCGAAATTAAGAACGCAAGCGACATTCTTGAAGTCAATTCCTCGCGATACTCCGTATTCCTTATCTTTCTTTCCAGTCTTTTGCTTCTTCTTCGAGGGTTGCTTGGTTTCCTTCTTTGCATCCTTTGCGTCTTCTTTCTCTTCACCAGCATCATCTGCTTCAGCTTCTTCCGCGTCCTCAGATTTGGGTTCGTCCTCGTCTCCCAAAACTTCGTGCTCATCCGAAGCAATGATGATATCATAAACGTTCTTGTTGAATTCTTCGACGACATGGATACGTGAGTTGACAGGTAATTGTGAGTTGAGAATACAACTTCTTGTTCCGAACTGCTCCAAAAATAATTTCAATCGATAACATCTATCGATGTCACCAACAAATATGATACATTTTCCTTTTATGAGTTTCAATTTGAATATGACATATGTTAGAAGGAACTTTTCGTCTTCGGCGCATCTGTTACTTGTTAGCATCCATCGTACAACAAGTAGCAAAATCTTACTTCACAACGAATTGGCTAACGCCTTCTCCCTCATCCTCTGCTTCCTCTAATTTCAATACCTCGGGGTTCCTACAGAATAGGCCTTTCAAAGTTTCAACCTCACTCGTCAATGTAGCGCTCATCAAAACAGTTTGAACACCCTTGGGCATGATTTTTGCAACATTTTGCAAATCCTCATCATAACCATAAGATAAGACCAAATCAGCTTCATCAATTACCATGTGTGTAAGATTTGCGAGGGAAAGTGCAGAGGTGTTGGCATTTAGAGAAGCTCTCGCAGGTGTCGCAATTACGATATCTGGGGAGTCTGCAAGAAGTGATCGTTGAACTGCATCCGAAACTCGCTGGGTGAGGTTGACTGCCCGGACATCCTTCGCGCAGAAGGCTGTGAAAGATTCAAATGTTTTGTAGACTTGATCTGCAAGTTCTCGAGTAGGTACAAGAATGAGGGCGGTTGTGCATTGGGTGGGTGAAAGCTAAAACGGTCAGTCTTTGTGATTACTTCGTGAGACGATTGAAACCCATACCTCCTTCCTCTTTAATATCGAATGAAGTATTGGTAGTAAGTAAGCAGCGGTTTTTCCAGATCCAGTCTTAGCTCTGGCTAAGATGTCGCGGCCTTCCAATGTGAGCGGAATTGCTTTGCTTTGTACGAGTGTCGGTGATTGAAAGTTTTGCTTTGCGATTCCTTGAAGTAGACGCGCATCCAGTCCTAAACTAGCGAAAGTGACATTCTCTTTTGTGGTATCGGATTCTTCTGTTGGTACAGGAACATCATTGGCATCGAGTTTACGCTTCATGGTTGGGTTTGTGAGTATAGAAATAAAATGATAGAAAAAAGGTTGTTTCTTGAAGTTCAATTTGCTTGGACATGAAATTATTTTTGCAACTTATCAGAAGCGGAGCATTCGATAAGGATATTATGTAAGCAATGCCTTTCACTATCCGTGAACATTGAGAATAATTCATAACCATATGCGCATGGCATCCTTCACACGAATATATCACGCACCTAATTGATTGATGGCTATGATCATTTGTCATCAAATAATCCAAAAGGCAATATCATCGCTCATTCGAGATATTATCTTTGTACATTCAAAGTGTGCTTTATCCTCAAATTCGTTGAAGCTATTCCGAGATCAAGATTCATGAGTTCATCACGTAGTTGTTTGACTATAGTAAAATCAACGCTTTGCATTCATGGTAGAATCTATCTCGAGCTCTCTAGTTCAGGAAGCTATCAAAAAGTTCAGTCTTCGGAAATTGATTGGTAGTAGTACTGCCGTCATCAATTCGCCAAAACACCGACTATGAGCTCCATCAAGCATTTCATACGCATCAGCAATACCTCAACTTCCCAAAGTCCAAACCCTCCTAGCCATCTCCTCATCTTTTGGCAATACAACCCATCCAGCAACAACCCATCTCCAATCCCAATTGATCAATGAAGCAACTCTCTGACACCATAGCTTTTGCGCCTTACCAACATTCGTGCCATTAACCCAGCTCACCCTCCCCATGTATGCCACCACCTTGTCTACATCATTGATTTCTCCCAGCCAATGTACGTCTGCTCTTTGTGCCTGTCTTGCTCTTTTCTCTGCCGCGATGTTTGTTTTTCTATATGGTTTTCCCTCAATTCTACCGGCAGTACCAGGTGCACATCCGATGTAGATTGTGGTAGATGAGTCGACGGGACCACTGCCCCATCTTGGACGGTAACCAACTAAAGAGTTAAGGAGTCAACAGCTGCACCACATTAAAACCCTAGGATAAAGTCGCAAAGGAAAGAATTTTGCTCACTAGCATAGGATGATGGGGTACGAGGATTTGTAGTCGGAGAATAAAAACGAATGTAATAGAGTTGGTAAGGTGAGAATGAGGATTCGACAGACGAAGCGACGTTGAAATCTTTAAGACCAGTCTTAGTTGGCTGTGGGGATGTGTTCTCCATTACGAAGGTTGCAGATTCTTGCAGATGCTTTGCTAGGTACAAGGGATTTCTGGTGACTTCTTCAAGTTCTGGGAGAACTTCTTAGAATGAGCTCTCTTGCAAGTCAGTCTTTCTATAATAGATGTGCGGAGGATTTGTGACTTACTAAAAAGTTTCTATCGATCCAATCTCGAGCTTGAGTGTTTGAGTTGTTTGTGTCTAAGAGGGGTATCAAGGAAGAAAGGAAAGCTCTTGGAGAAGCAATGTATTAGCCAGGTTCCCAGAATGGCGCCATGATAAATCAATTTTTGAAATCGAGCCACTGAACCTTCCCATCTCGAGCCAAAGTACCTATCTCATCTAGAATAACTTCAGCCTCTTTCAGGTGGCATGATGCATGCCCAAGGCCTGATCCGCCAGTGAAACTAAACGATCTTAGCGTAATTCGTATTCTCGAACTTTTACAAAAATCTCCCATGTTCTCCCAGTAGAGAACGTGTAAAGCGTCCTCTCATAGAGTAATCAATGATTGCCTCAGAAACACAAATACGTGAATACTATCAAGTGGAAACGGTGAAATGCAAATATGACTGTCGTCTGAAATTAATGGTTCATTTGGTTTCCAAAAAATCAAACAGTTAAGAAAGAACAGTAAATTTGCAGGCGCAAGTGTGCTCGCGAGTTTGATCCACAAGGTCCTAGTTCTAATAGTTACGAATTCGTCTCCTTGAATGAACATGAATCATTCGCTCCATTTCAGATTCTAGATCAAGATGGCAAAAAAAATTATCCGTAAGATATTTCTTCGTGAATCAGATAGATGGTCTAGAGTTTTTCATTCGATGAAACAACCACAACGTTGACCACCTTCCAGAAGAATCCTAAGATGTAGGTCGGAAACCTCAATAAATAGTTGGATGATCATCTGAATTTTTGGGGGGATTACTGAAAACTGGAAATTCCAATATCATTCATGTTCAACACAAGTTTTGTCGAGGAATATAGTACGCGAAAGAGTTGATACAGAATATGCATAGCATGCAGCCGTACATTCGACCTACATTCGACCTACATTCTAGCTGCAACGAGCATGGAACACTTTCATTTGACAGGAGGTTTCAAATGGCCATTCGCAGACACAAAAACACACTTTTTTTTTTCCTTCCCTCATGTTATATTGTTGATCATGTGTGTGTTTTTGATCACTCAAAAAAAGCCTCCACAACCCATAAAATTCACAAACCTACCGGCCCAGAACAAACAAAAATCTTCCTATCAAAAAAGCCATTCAAAATGGCACGATGGGATGCTCGAGAAACCTTCTCCATCGACCCGAAAGCCAGGCTTCGATTCGATTGCGTGGGCATAGCTAAATCCATGAATCGCAAATGCAAGAATCGTATTGGAAAACCAAAACGCATCAAAGCATCTGAATTACTGGATCAACTTTCAGCACTACCTATTTCCGGAAGAGGCTATAATGAAAGAGGGCTAAAAGCAAAAATAAAAGAGCTTCTTGATGAAGTAATTTGTGAGAGACACAATGATGGAGGAGGACACTCTCAGGTCGAAAGAGTAGGAAAAGAGTGGTGGCGCAAGGTGGAGATGGCGCAAGAAGCAATTAGAAACAATGAAGGGCAACAGCCACCACAGATGATACAGCGGAGGAGGGGATATAGGCCTGTTGCAGACGTGGAGCCAGCTGCTCCTGAACGGGCTCTTCAGCGTCTCGAATTGAATCCGATGGAAATCGCGGATCAAGTCCAGGATCTGGAGGAACGTCTTGCGCGCGATGAGGCGGAGAGAGCGGAATTGATGATGCGGATAGAGGAAAGAAGGAGACTGTATGAGAGAATACGAGAGGAACAAATGCGAGCAAGAGAGAGGGAGATGCGAGAGGCAGCAATGCGGCAAAGAGAAGAGGAGGAGAGACGACGAGAAGTCGAGAGAATTCAAAGGGAGAGACAACGGGAAGCGAATAGGATACGCGATGAAAGAGAAGAAATGGTGAGGATGGATAGAGAGTTTGCATTGAGACTGATGAGAGAAGAGATGGAGGAGGAAGAACTAATTAGACAAGAAGAAGAAGAAGCAGAAGCACAACAACAACGAGCAGCACGAACGGCATTGCGGAGGCTCGAGAATAGGCGAATTGCGCAAGTGCCAGTGCCATACCCTTTTGCAGTACCGCAACTATTCCGGCCCCGTCCTGTTCAACGCGGAGTTCAACGTAAACCCTTGCCGATTGTTATTCCTGCCTTGAACCCATCCGCCGACATGAAGACGCGGATTGGTGTCGAGCGCAGTGTGGGCAAAACATCTGTAATGGATGTCTTCAGGAGTGGATGAGAAATCAAGTGGGGAGAGAACTTAGATGTGGCGTCTGGTATGCTGTCTCTTTCTTTTCTTCCCCGTCCTTTGTGAGAGAAGTTACTAATTCTTACATCTGATAGTCGAGCAGTTTGGAAATTTGAGGACGCATAAGAAGCTGGCAATGCGATATTTGAAAATGTAATTTTAAGTCGGCGTTGAGAAGGATCTTGGAATATGATACAGGGGTTTGTGTTTTTTTAAAGAAAAGAGGGATGATCTGATAGAAATATTGTATTGAAATGAATGACCTTGGCCCTCATCCCTAAATTTTTGGTTTGAAGCATGATTCTGCAGCTCAGTTCTTGTATCACGGTGCCTTAAACTATTAAGAAATCAGTATTCTTTTGTAAGACGTTCCCGTTCTGAAGCTCTCAAGCTTGCTAGGAAAACAACAAATTCATGCACCATCGACCAGCCTTAGCATTATTTCTCGTAATCGACAGTCTCCCATGACTTAAGTAATGCTGGCTATCGAATGTGTGAAAGACATTTACATAATGGCATGCTGTTCGGAGTTGAAACGGGAGGATTTGAAGCTTCTTGCCAAGGGTGAAATAGAAAGGGTTGACAGGAGCGCCCCCAAGCATTGGCAAATAGCCTTGTGTAAATGAAATCGAAGAAAAGACAACTAATGAACTTTTAAAAGTTTTGAAATGGGGCATGTGAAGGATTTTGGTAAAAGTGAGGGGCGAATATCTTGAGGATCCGAATGTAGGAATGTATGAACGGCCTTTGAAGTCGTTGTGAGAGCAAACGTGTTGAAATTAAATCAGGGAGGTATATCGTAGATAGCTTGGCGTGATGCAGTACTTTCTTTTTCGAGCTGAATAGTCTTGAGTCTTGACTTACTGCTCAAGCACAGCTGCTCAACTTGCTGAATAAGAATATAGCAATGTCTTGACGATAGTAACAGTACGACAGAATGCTAGATCCATCTTTACGAAGGCATGATCATAGTACGTCGAGCTTAGGTATCCACACCAACTCAGCGCAAAATGTATCTCTTGAGTCATTAAAGGCCAATATGAGAACAGACAATTTGACATATGAAAGATTCCCAGCATCTAGCTAGTAGATATCCCTTCGCCACAACCGTATTCGAGATACTAAATAGATCAAGCACGAAATGTTTCCACTTCCCACCACTCGGACAATAGCCCCGGCTCCATGATCAGCTGAATTCTCCGATTGTAAAGACGATCTAGGTCTTGCCACCGGACGAACAGAAGAAATGCATGAATAAAGTTCCTTAAACGAAGCTTCAATTTGACTGATCTACTCGAGACATCTAGGAATAACCTCGAAATGAGTACATGTGGCTGTGCGATCGGATTGTTATGCGACAGACTAGGCACGTGCAGTGGGGAACCTGGACGTTATTTGTTTCAACCTAGGAAGGATGCAAATGATGTACGATAGCCCATGATAGCAACCTAGAGTCCAGGTTGAAAGGGCGAAAAGGGTCAAAGAAACCCGAAAGGATGAGAATGGCCCCCACAGTGGGGGAGGTAAGTATTCGTTAAGCGCGCTTATCTTGATCAACCAAGAATTTCTATCTATACGTACCTAGGTAATCATATCTTATGGGAGTTGGTGTAGGATTGGGGTCATTTATGGCATTTCATAATAACGATGACGATTTCGGCCGCCTATGGGACCCCTCAAGAATCATTAGGTACCGGGCGTCCGCAAAATCTCCGAAGTGTTATTCTTCAACAGTCGAGACGTGTGTTTCATGATCAACTTAACCGCGAGGGCAAGGTTCACAGAGCATCCATTCAACAAGGATTGATTGACATGATCGACAAACTCCGAAGAAATTCTTCGGATGAGCAAGCATCTAAGCCGAATGAACGAGAAACATTTGGACAATTTCAACAAATAGATCCACGATACGATTAAAAGATGCAATACTGGTAGGTCAATTATTCTTGGCGCCCAAAGATCAGGTGGTCAGGGTCAAAGGATTCAAGAATACGATCTATGGAGTCAAAAGCTCTTTTGCGTTGTTTGCTGGTGGGTACTATGGACTCTCACGAGTCGTCGTATACGACCGTGGCGGCAACCTATCCAGTTGCAAGGAGAATTGATCATAAACTAATTTGATTGGCTAGCCCCTGCCAAGACGTTTATTCCCAGCTTCCGTGTGGAGGGACTATTTGTGATAAAAGGGGGACTTTCATATCTTAGCGCATATGCAAGACGATTGGGTTTTTTCATATAAAAGGAAAATCATGAAAATCCAGGGGTTCGGGCTGCAGGAACAGAAACAAAAAGATTTTGTTTGAATACCTAATTGCATCATCACGTATTGGCTTATGGTCTGCTGTCGACCTCTACTTACATGGGCTTCTTGCATACGCGCAACGGCAATACAGTACAATTCAGATCGGTTTGCTGGCTCCAATTCCAAACGAAACCCCCCCCTCAAGCCCAACGGATGATGTTCAATCCATAGGTTCAACGTGATAGAATGCAAGAAAACAAAATCATCCATTATGAATCCATGATTCAAAGTATTGACTGGCATCCCTCTCTTCCTTCTGATCTTCGTATAAATTCGAATAATACCGATCAACCTGACTCCTTGAGAACTGTGGATATTACTCAGGGGCCAATAATTCCAAAGATTCGTCCTTTCAGTGGCACAGCATGCACAGCATGAGGTTTCGCCATTAACCGAAGCAAGGTACAAGAGCCTATCAAATGACATTTTCCCCTGCAGATTCTCAATCATTCAACGTCTGTGCTAACCACACAAACCACATCCCATCTGTACTGATTCAAAATCATCCACATTCATCCTAACATGTACGAAAGAGTACCAATGCTTCAGATGTATTTCTTCTCCGGTCACATAGCCACTTCAACTGGTTATGTATTATGTCAAGTTGCCCTTTCTCTAGCCTTGCGAGAATGGGTCATCTAAATGCAGTGGATTTTAGATCCTGGAGACCCTGCAAATTCCCACATGGGACGTTTGTCGACCAGGTAGAGACAGACGATATGCGGGCGACCATGACCAATTAAGCCATGGTTTTCGACCTTCCTTGCTGCAGTTTTTGCAATTCACTGTCCTCTTGGGTCGAAAAGAAAGTCCTTCTCACCCATGTCCCGTTTGGAGATATCTTGATCGACTCTCAGACTGAGAGATATAAGATGGTCAGGCCCGTCCCACCTTGAATCATCTCGGCATCCTTCTCTCAATTCCAACTCTCCTTCGAGCACTTGCTTCTTCCTTCAAAGGGTATTTACCTTTTTGTTTGTAAAATTCGTCTTCCAACTTTTCGAGTATTTCTATTTCTCTATTGTCTGTGACAAGAGAAAATTTCCAATACTACTACATTCCTTGAGACACTTTCAGCGAAAGAACGAATTCCATTCATTTACCGACACATTCAGAAGAATATCGAATTCTTTGCCCTTGAAACAATAAACTTCTTGAAGGTACGTGAAACAATGCTTGAATCTTTTCTTTGTTCTTGTTGTTATCACATTGTGGAATCCTCTTGCACTTTCGAAAAGTCCTTTGTCATTTTGTTTGCCTGTCTTTCGTTTCGTCGTCGTCGGATGAGACAATAGGATTCGGTACACACCATTTTTAATTATTATTCTCTATTGAAGTGTCATTTGAGAGAGTGAATAATCTAAATAATCTCTTCGGTTACTCATCCTTTCTATTCATAACAATAAACAATCTGTTTAATTATTGTTGTGATTCGATTTTCTATTGCAAACTTCGAGAACAGTCAGCCTCCTCGAATAATATAAACTTGGCATTCCGACTGACCTCGATCTTTTTTCCTCATTCCAGATTATTACCACATCCATTCTCTACAAGTACAACACGATCTTTCGACTTTAACAACGATTCTTCAACTGCACAAATAGAGGAAATCTATACAACAACAAATTACAAAGATTTTTCCGTCAGGCACGATTAAAATCTTCAACCACTCATTCAATATGTTCTCCAAAGCATCCATTGTAGCATTTGCTCTCGCAGCTGTCAGCAATGCTCACATGATCATGACCAACCCAGTTCCATATGGAGTCGACACTCTCAATAACTCTCCTTTGGAAGCAAGCGGAGCCGACTTTCCATGCAAGCAAAGAGACGGAGTCTACAAAGTCACCACTCAAAACACCATGGAGCTCGGTGGATCTTATGATCTTGCATTCAAGGGTAGTGCCGTTCACGGAGGTGGGTCTTGTCAAGTATCTATCACCTATGATGAAACTCCCTCTGCCTCTAGCTCATTCAAAGTCATTCACTCCATCGTCGGCGGTTGCCCCATGAAAAACGTTGCCGGAAACAACGGAGACAACAAAGATGCCGTCAATCCAGACACCTACAATTTCACCATTCCCTCAACTCTTCCAGCTGGTAAAGCAACCCTAGCATGGACTTGGTTCAACAAGATCGGAAACCGTGAAATGTACATGAACTGTGCACCCGTTACACTCACCGGCGGCTCCAGCAAGCGCAGCGACCTCATCGCACGCGACCAAGCTGCTTTCAATGCTCTCCCAGACATGTTCACTGCCAACATCGGCAATGGTTGTGGAACAGCTGAATCTAAGGATGTGGTTTTCCCCAACCCAGGTGATTCCGTTGAGTATGATGAAGGCTCCACAACTGCTACCGCTGCACCAACTGGATCTTGCGCTACCGCTGCCGCTGGTGCTGCTTCTGCAAAGCCTACTGGAACTGGAACTGGAACTGGAACTGGAGCCACTAGCGCTGCGGCTGCGGCTCCATACGGTACAGCGACCGCAAGTTCGCTTCCAGGAGGTGTTTTTGTCTCAATTGCTACTGGTACTGGCGCTGCTACTTCCGCCGCGACCTTGGCAGCAACTTCAGCAGCTGGAGTCGTACCCGCAGTTGCCACTACTGCCGTCAGTGTCCCAATAACTCCAACCTCTGCCACCTCTGCTGTAGCACCAGTTGGAACCGGCGCTTCATCAACTTCCTC